TAGAAGTGGTAGAAGTAGTAGCAAGTAGTAGTAGTAGTAGTAGTAGTAGTAGTACTAAGTAGTGTATCGTAGTAAGTAGTAGTAATAGTAGTAGTAGTAGTAGTAGTAGAAGTAGTCGTAATAGTAATGGTAGTAGTGGTACGAGTAGTACTAGTAGGAGTATTCGTCGTAGCACTAGTAGTAGCAGCAGCAGCAACAACAGCAGTAGTAGTAGTAGTAGTAGTAGTAGGAGGAGTAGTAGTAGTAGTAGTAGTAGTAGTAGTGGTAGTAGTGGTAGTAGTAATGCTAGTAGGAGTAGTAGACGAAGAAGAAGAAGAAGTAGTAGTAGTAGTAGTAGTAGTCGTAGAAGTAGTAGTAGTAGTAGTAGTAGTAGTAGTAGTAGTAGTGGTAGTGGTAATGGTAGTCGTAGTAGTAGTAGTAGTAGTAGTAGTGTAGTAGTGGTAAAGTGTAGTAGTAGTAGTAGTAGTAGTAGTAGTAGTAGTAGTAGTAGTGGTAGTAGTTGTAGTTGTAGTAGTAGTAGTCGTAGTAAAGTATTTAGTTATGTCGTCGTCGTCGTTCGTCGTCGTCGTCGTAGTAGTAGTAGTAGTAGGTAGTAGTAGTAGTAGTGTTTTGGTGGTGGTGGTGGGTGGTAGTAGTGGTAGAAGTAGTAGTAGTAGTAGTAGTAGTAGTAGTAGTAGTAGTAGTTAGTAGTTGTAGTTGTAGTCGTGTCAGTGTAGATAGTAGTAGTAGTGTAGTTGTAGTATATTCGTAGTAGTAGTAGTAGTAGTAGTAGTAGTGTAGTAGTAGTAGTTAGTAGAGTAGGTAGTAGTGTTAGTAGTAGTCGTAGTAGTAGTATTAGTAGTAGTAGTAGTAGTAGTAGTAGTCGTAGTAGTAGTAGTAGTAGTAGTAGTAGTAGTAGTAGTAGTTGTCGTTGTCGTAGTCGTATTTGTAGTAATAATGTTAATAACAATAATAATGATAGTCGTCGTCGTCGTGGTGGTAACAGTAGTCGTCGTCGTAGTTAGAGGGATGAAGGGGGAGGAGGGAGAACATAACGATGAGGAGGAGGAAAGGGTGTGGGAGAGGACGAGGATGAAAAGGATGAGGAGGACTGATGGGGAGGGCGAGGAAGAGAAATATGAGGATGACGCCGGAATGAAGGAAAGGGACGGTGGGGGGACGAAGAGGTGGCGGGAGAGGGGAGGGTGGGGTCAACAATCATCGTGGCGCTCTTTGGCGCGACCCCACACGTCTGGAGCACAATCCCGGAACAGGCACATTCGCCCGACGAGGGGAAACACAGAGAGACAAGCAAGAGAGAGAGAGAGAGAGAGAGAGAGAGAGACAGAGCGAACGAGAAAGAGACAGAGATAACGAAAGACAGAGACGGAGAGACGAAGACAAAGAGAGAGAGAAAGGAACAACAACACAACGGAGGAGGTGGACGAGGAGGTCCGTCAATGTATACCCACGACGCACCAACGATGTTGCAATACTCCCTCCCCCCGAAATCCCTGTTCACAACCCCCCGAACATACAACACATTTCCGTTGCGGGAGGTGCCCCACAGGAGGACAGACGTCTGAGATCAATCAAAAATCTCCAAACACAACTCCTGGGGCATTGACGCAGCGAATCAACGTGACTGTTGCGTCCTGACAATCCTACGTCGCACAAAAACATCATTCTTGGGACCTCAGCGCCGCAAATCAGCGTGAATGTTGCGCGCTGGGGATCTTAGACCGTGTCAGAACACGATTCCAAGGACTTCAACCATACTTGGCCCTTGCATCTGCTGTGTACTTTAAAACGAGTGTGCGCGGCGGTGAAGCGAAAGCCACATTTGGGAAAGGAGCCGCACTCTATCCTTGAAGCTGTTGCCACACTTTTTGAAATAATTCGCGCGGCTTAGGGGCGAGACTCACATTTTGAAGACGGGCCGTCCTCCATCCTTGACGCCGTTGCAAATTTTAGGACGAATGTGCACAGCACTGAAGCAATGACCACATTTTGAAAACCAACCGACCCCATCCTTGAAGCCGTTGCACATTCGCGCTTCAGGATCACAAGTGGTAGGGAAGTCTCACGCGAAACGCCCTGTCCGCTCTGCCGACGCGTCTTGGGGTGCGACAGAGAGGATTTGTTATACCAGGGAAAAGGATGGAGGAAGAGGAGGAGGAGGAGGAGAAAGAGGAGGAGGAGGCGGACGGTTCGTGGGGGCAGGGGGTTCGCGCGTCGCGCCCCCAGTCCCGACGACCCGAGCCGATCCTGCAGGCTCGCGAGCGGTGCGCGGCCTATCCGCGCCCGCGCGAGTGCCGCGGCTCAGCCCGCAGCAGGCAGCACCTCGCGCCGCCTCTCGGCCGCCCCCGGGCCTCGTGCACTGCCTCAGTCGGCTGAAGCAGCTCATTGGAGCAGCTTGCGGATGGACGGGCCTGCGGCCGCTGTCCGCTGCCCGCTGCTCCTTGGCTGGCGGCTGCTGCGGCGTCTCGGCGGGGCCATGCTCCTTGGGCCTCGTGCTCGCGCCTTCCACCTGCGCTTCCAGCTGTCCTCTCCATTGGGCCCGCGTCTCCTTGGTAGGGGGCGCCGCACTGGCGGCTCTCCCCCCCTCCTCCTGGCAGCTCCTCCCTTGCCGAACCCGCGGTCCAGGTGTTCCGCGCTTTCTTGTTCTTGTGGGTTGGAGCCAACACGCTGGGGGGCGCCCTCACCGCGGGCGGCCCGATCGGCACGTGCGCGACCCTCGCAGGACGGAGGTCCATGCGCATGCCGACCGGCACCTCTGGCGGCACGTCCGGCGGGCTCTTCGGCCGAGGCGCCACCTCCCGCCGTGGTGGCGGAGGACCTCGTGCCCCCCACCTCCGCTGCGCGCGCAGGATCACGAGCGGGCAGTCCGTCGTCGTAGCGGAGCGCGGCCTTCACTGGGGGTCATTGCACGCCCGCGCGGCGCTCCCGTCGGTGCCTCCTCGAGTCCCCGCGGCCCATCCGCTGCGCCCCGACGCGTCACGGAACACGTGCAGCGGCACGGGGCCGACCCCCCCCCACACCGCGGCGTCACCCCAAACCCCCTTGGCCTCGGAGAGGGAGAGAGAGAGAGAGCGAGAGAGAGAGAGAGAGACAGAAAGAGAGAGAGAGAGAGACAGAAAAAGAGAGAGAGAGAGAGAGAGAGAGAAATAAGGAAAGAGAGAGAGAGAGAGAGATGTGATGGGGGCAGGAGAGGGGCAGAGGGAGGGAGGGAGGAAGTGGGGCAGAGGGAGGGGAGGTACCACCTGGAGGGGAGGGAGGCCTCCTTGGGCGGGCTCGGGCACGCACACCCACAGGTCGTGCCCTTACCGTCCGACTACATACCTTGAACTCCTCTCCGACTCTGGCCGCCGCCAGAACGAGGCCCTGGAAGCGCGCCCCTCCACCAGCCTTGTCCTGCGCATTGTCCTCGTGCCGTCCGCCCCGGGCGTTCCACCCGTTCCTGCTGGACCACCCGCCGAGCCCCACGGAGTCCACGGTCTTTTTCGGGCCCGAGCTCCTCGCAAGCCCTCCAAACTCAAGCGCTGAGGCTGGAAGCGCGTAGCGGCACAATTTCATCGGGCGCACTGCGGGGTTGCAAATTTTCTTCCTGGGGCTGCTCCCCTTCTCCTGCACCCCCCCCCCCGCCACTCGTGGACGCCCGAATTATCCGGGATAACTGCGGTCTAGGTAACTCTGGTTCAGGCCCCCGAGGCGCGATCCGTAGTTACCCCTGACTGCCCCCAACCCTGATGAGTCGGGAGGGTTGGACGCCCGAGTTATCTGGGACAGCTGCGGTCCGGGGCAACTCTGGTTTGGGCGCCCGAGGCGCGAATCTGTAGCTATCCCTGACCGCCCCCGGTCCTGCTGCTTCTCCACCCGCTCGCCCTCCTTGCGCATTGGAGCTGGCCGTGGCGGTGCCGTGGCATAGTTGACCCTATCCCTAAGAGGGGATGCGATCTCTGACAGGGGATAAGTAGACCCCCATCCCAGGTTTCATGGGATTTTCGAATGAACCGAAATTTGAGATCTAACCCTAAGATATACGAGGGGAGGGCGTCCATCCTCGATGGGGGTGCGTCCAAATAGCCCCCTGGGGGTGCATCCCAAGGTTTGGGCCCCCGAGGCGCGAATCTGTAGCTATCCCTGGCCGCCCCCGGCCCTGATTCTGGGGCTCTGACGACACTCTGCCACTCCACCCGCTCGCCCTTCCTGCCCTCCGCTTGCTTTTTCCTTAGGCAAGCTACTGGGCCTCGAGGACCCGAAGCGACAGGCAGCCTGGGCGCAGGCGGGCCCAGGCAGCAAGTGCAGTGCCTCCTCGACCCCTGAGGCGGAGAGGTCGGCAGAGGCGGCTTGCAAAGCAGTTCATGGCGTATCCGACCCCATCACATCCCCCACATCCTCATCACCGCATCTCCGCCCCCTCCCGGCGCTCGCGACGCGGCCAGGCACGCATGAGAGGATGAGTGCTGCCGGCCAGGCCGCAACGGGGCTCTCCCTCAGGTTCCCCCCCCTCGGCCCCCTCGGCCCGACTTGACAGGAGCTCGAGGTGAGCGGGGTCGGGGGATACCGTCCCAAACATGCGACGTCCTGATTCTTTCAATACGGCGTCCCCGGAAGTCCCGACCCTTTCCCCGGGGCCGGTTTTTCATCCCGAGTCGTTTTTTCGACGCTCCCGAGACCCGGCGAGTGCCCCCCCGAGGCCGAAAACGAACGAAACACCTCCCGTCCTCTGATTTTTTTAACGAAGCGATCGTGCCTGGGGTCATCGTGGCCCTCCACTTGCTGCCCCCCCCCCCCCCCCTGCGCGCCCTCTGGCCGGCGGGGGCCCGCGCTCTCCTGCCCTCGCTGCCCCCCCCCCCCTCGGCGCACCACCAGGGCCTTCGCCCCCTGTCCCCTCCTCCTCCTGCCTCCTCCTCGTCCTCCTGCCTCCTCCTCCTCCTCCTCCTCCTCCTCCTCCTCCTCCTCCTCCTCCTCCTCCTTCCTCCCCTCCCCCTCCTCCTCCTCGTCCTCCTCCTCCTCCT